CTTCCGGACATGGTTAAACACAGCATCAGAAAATTTGAAGACTCCTACCACTCTTCCTCGTACCCGGAGATTCCTACTAAACCCAAAGTACAGCAACTCCCTGGTAAATCCAAAACTTTGGAGGCCCTCCTGGTGCCTCCCCCCACAATCACTCTCCCCCATACCAAGAAATTCCTACTAAACTGTTTGCAGAGGGGGGAAAGAAATCCGGGAAGTCGCTGCTCGGCCTCATTGGGGTTGAGYCATCCAGCTTGGTCCAGTCATTGAAAAGGAGTTTGTAGTCTTTTGTGATTGTCACGTTGTCGCCCCTTTCCCCTTGTCCCCTACTTCCTCCATTSCATTCCACCCGTCCTATCCTCCCYCCCATTTCCCCCCCGAGCCAGTTTCTGCAGAAGTCTTGTATCCTCTGTTTTATCTCTTTCCCAGTGTGAATATGATTGATCTGTTTTTTGGTTTCTTCCCATTTCCCCATTATGTTTGTATGGATCTGTTGTTGTATACTCTCTGTGAATTCTGGCCCCTCCAACCTCACTCCTTCCATTTCATACGTGCATCGTTTGCACACATTCAGGGCCAGATCCTAGCGGCAAAGAGGATTGGAATAAGTGGCCGAATCTGGACGTTTTCCACACAGAGATGTAGAAAAGCAGATTAATCACTGCGTAGCATCGTGCTCGGGCTCGGTGACTGAACCCGAAGGCTCGGTGCCGAGCGTGAACGTGGCCCAAAATAGACCAAGCCCGAACTTTTTTTTTATAGGGGTTGGGGGGCCCTGGCGGGCATTGCTCATCACTCTTGAACATACACACACATACACACACCACACACACGCACACACACACACCCCACAGACACCCCACACTGGCACCACACACACATGAGCACGTGCTCGACAACCCCCTAATTTGCGCTCGGCTGAACATTTTCGGTTCCCGCTTGGCCGAGTGTCCGAACATGTTTGGCTGCTCGGTGGAGCGCCGAACATGTTCGGTGTACAGATTAATCACAATTGTTTGCACCTATCCACAAACACGTCCAGATTCAGAGGATTATTCCAATCATCTTTGCCTGTGGGATTTGGCCCTTAGGCCTGGACCCCACATGAATGGGACAAGGGAAAGTTTTGTTGTGGAATTGTTTCTGGGACCTCACATGACCCGGAAAAGGGCGTGGAAACGTTGTGTGTTTTTCGCGGAAGTCTTTCGCGGGGCTCCACAGATCGCGCTTTGTGGCCTGGAAAACGATCCAAATCTGTTTCGAGATGGTCTGCGGCGTGGAAAAGTTCCGCGGGAGGGATTTCCGCCGCAATATTGTGCCGACTCTCGAACGTTGGGGGGTGGGGCATCCCGAAGGTTCCCAAGGTGTCGACCATGGGCTGGACGAGAAGATGTCCGCCCAGCCTTTTGATTGGGTCTCGGAGCAGCAGTGTGTTTCATGTAGGTTGTGGCACCATTCCTACGCTCCACGGGCGGTCGCTGGCACTCGGACGAACCACCACTTTCCATTTCGGGACGGTTGGCGGGCACGTTTCCTATTACGGAAATTTAAAAATTTTCAAGATTTTGCCGCAAAACTGCCTCCGCAGTGGGGTTCCCGTAGAAGGCTTTCCAAACTTTCCAAAACTCTTCCAACGACCCTTCCGCAGAAACGTCTTTTCCAAAGCAATTCCTGTGGGGTCCAGGCCTTAGGGTCGGACCCCACTGCGGTGCAGACAAAAAAGACGTGTGGCCACGAAAAGCAGGCAAGTTGTTTGGGAAAGTTGGAAAAATGTTTTCCGGGAACCCACTGTGAAGCGTGTTTTGCGGCAAAGCGAGATTTTTTCTTCCGCAAAAGGGAAGTTTGGTGGGTGAAGTCCGAAAAAGGAAAGTGGTTGTTGTCCGCGAGGCCGTGGGTGGCCCTCAGGAAATGGCCGTGCCGGTGGATGTGGGTGACGTGGGGTGGCACGTGCGGGCCCCGGTGGCAGCTCCCGCCTGAACAATCCGTGGTCCATCCACGGGACTTGGTCTTGGAAAAGTTAAAGACGGCTCAGGGGGCTGACCTTGGATTTCGGCACAAACTTGAATTTGCGGTGTGATTTCCTCTGTTTGCCGTTTTCCAGACCGCGGATTATGGGTCGGACCCCACAGGAATGTGGAAAGGAAAAAGTTTGCCACAAAAGAGTTTCGGGGACCCCACACGTCGCGGAAAAGAATACGGAAAGGCCGAAATGTCTTCCAAAAACCGTATTCTGGGACCCCAACAGCCCGCATTTCATGGCTTGGAAGATCGCCTGTGGACGTTTTCACATCGTCGGCGGTCTGGAAAACGGTGAACGGAGGAAATCACGCCGCAAATTTGTGCCGAAATCCAAGGTCGGCCCCTTGAGCCGTCTTGAACTTTTCCAAAACCAGGTCCCATGGACGGACCACGGATTATTCGTCCAGGAGCTGCCAGAGGCCTTTTAACTCGTTTCGTGTCGCACCGGGTCCTGCACGTGCTGCCCCACGTCACCTACATCCACTGGCACGACCATTTCCTGAGGTCCACCCACGGCCTCCCGGACAACCACCACTTTCCTTTTTCGGACTTCACCCACCAAACTTTCCTTTCACGGAAGAAGAAATACTGCTTTGCCGCAAAACACACTCCGCGGTGGGGTCCCCGAAAAACACTTTTCCAAGTTTCCAAAACAACTTGCCCGCTTTTCGTGGCCACACGTCTTTTCCGTCCGCACCGCAGTGGGGTCCGGCCCTATGTGAAAACGTCCACAGGCGATCTTCCAGGCCACAAAATGTAGGCTGTGGGGTCTTGGAATACGGTTTTTGGAAGACATTTCGGCCTTTCCATAATCTTTTTGGCGAGGTGTGGGGTCCCGGAAACACTTATGCGGCAAACTTTTTCCTTTCCGCATTCCTGTGGTGTCCGACCCTTCAAGTTAGGGGTGGACCCCACTGCTCAGGGGCTGGAAAAAGTGGTTGGCCATAAAAAGCGGTGGAAAGACGCCAGAAAGACTTTGGCGGGTTTCCGTGCGACCCCATCGCCAAAGTATTTCCAAAGCTCTGGAAACAGCAAAACATACCCGAAAAGGAAAAGTCGGAGGGTCCCCCCCCGAAAAGGAAAGTTGGGATGGGATTGCGGTGCACCAAATTCGTTCGTCGCTGGACCAGGACATGTCCTCGTGCGGCACTGCGTGGCAGTGTGTGATGTGTGGCTTCGAATAGGTGGCGGGGTACTTCGTTCACCTGTCCCCGGGTGTCCAAAACGGCCCGTTGGGACTTTTGGTATTTGAATTTGAATTCCAAGAACCAAAAATATTCCTTTGTGGGCCCCATCGGAGCTTGTCCGCTTCCGCCCTCGGCGGCCGGACCCGAGACGGGGAGTGCCACAAATTGGGACATCCTGCAAGTACGTGCCCCAGGTTACCATAGGTGGCGAACGAAGACGATGTGGGCATAACGGGATCCGCATGTGCGCTCATATGCTGCCTGTGCTTGGCTGGATCACCCCTGCATGGCTGGCCGTCGTCCCCGGCCCGCCCATTTTTTGAATTTGAAATCCGTTGCCGTTCCGGAAATCAGGGCTCGTGCAGGCCAGCCACACAACGGCCCACATCGGAACCGTGCGACAGGGCAGTGCATGTCCGAGGGGGCTTGCCCGCCCGTGAAACAGTCCGCCGTGACGTCAGCTGGACTACGCCCGCTCGGCATCTTCTTTCCACGGGAGAACACGCCCCCCCCTTAGGTTGGAAGGCCTTTCTGGAAAGGTGGTGGAAGGCTGCGCGGTTCGGTTTCCAGGCCGCCAACCGTGTAGAAACGCTTCTGACACCTTTCCGGCGAGGTCCTTCCACTGTCTGTGGGGGCTGAAAGACCTTCCAATTCTGGGTTTCCATCCTCTCTTTTTTTTTTTTTTTTTTTTTTTTTTTTCAGTGGAGTCCCAAACACACGGGCCAACTTGAAGTGGCATTCAGGAGGTTGTGGGTTCAAGCCCCATGGCCGCCTGCGGCGCACTTAGTGCCAACGGACTGTGATAGTCCTCTGGATACCCCTGGTCGGTATTAGCCGGGTCTATGACCAACACGGGTGTGACCAACATGGGTGTGAGTGTGAGCGCGAGTGGGTTGTGTGTGGTGTGTGGGAGAGTGTTGGCCATAACCTCTGCTGCTACTCGATGAAGGGTGGGGGACGATGAGAAAGGGAGGCACAGCTACTGGCAGGTCTCGGTCTTTGTGTTAGCCAGACCCCCACTGGCGGCCCCAACCCTATACCCTAACCATTAGGGGCAAGGGGCAACATGAAATCTCCCCTTCACAGAGAGAGGAAACTATGCTTGCAGGGGTCCCCTCTAGGTAGTCTTAGGAGTAGGTAGTGGAAGGTAAAAGAAACAGAAGTTGAGAGAAGAATATAGAAAAAAAAAAAATAATAAATAAATAATAATAATAATAAAAAATAAAAATCCAGGAAGCCGAGCAGTGGGGTCCGACCCTTATTCTATCAGCGGCAGGGAACGGCTTTGCAAATGGACGGGCCTTCTTTTTGAATTGGCCCATAAACTTATTGTAACCATCCGACTCGGCAGGATTTGAACCCATGACCAGTTATTGAATAGGAGCTGCGTACGCGCGCGGGGGTTTCTTGGAACTGGTTTTCGAATCGGATCGGACCCAAAAAAAAAAGAAAAAAAGTTCGATTCGAACTTGCAACGCCAAGGAGGCTCGCTTAACCGACGGAAGCCATCAACCTCTGGTCTGTTGTCGCCGCCAGTTCGCCCCAGGCTTGTTGCTGCAGGTGTAGGTCCTCTTCCTCCTCCTCCTCCTCCTCCTCCTCCTCCTCCTCTTCCTCCTTCTCCTCCTCTCCTCCTCTAGCCGTCATCTTCCTCCAGCTTCTTGATTGCTACCTCCAGCCTCCGTTACCTTGGCTTCGTTGTCGTCTTGCAAGTCTTTTTTGTCCTCCTCCGCCGCTTCTTCATTCTGGTTCTGCATAGTTCCGACAATGCTGACGTGGGAATGAAGTTTCGCGGAGAGTTCATACGATCAATCAGTGTCGCTTATAATTTGCTCTTTTTCTAGACCCTTAAGGTGCGCTCGCCGTCTGCCGAAAGCCGACCGCTACGTCTAGTGCATAATCTCTCTCTTCCCCCCCCTCTCTCTCTCTCTCTCTCTCACTCTCTCTCTCTCTCTCTTTTTTAAGCGTAATCTCGTCTTCTTTCCCCGGTCCATCACTCTCCCATGGCGTGCCACTCTTACCTCCCACTACCTTGCCTCCTGCCCCCTCTACAGCCTCTCAATCGTCCTGTAAGGCGTCACTCTGCAGCTTGCTGCACGATAAAAACAATACCTTTCTATGTCTCGTCGTCAATCCTACCCGCATCTCTCCCCCCCTCCCCTCCTCCCCCCTCC